AGCACAAGCGGCGGGAGGACTGACAGTGATGGGACTTATTATGTCGCTGCACAGGGATTCATTAAAAGAGGTGAGCTCGGGAGCTGTGACTCTCATGTCCACATTCGAAGCATCGGGTCAACTTTGACCACCTCCGCAGGAAATTCTTGAGGTCCCACAGCGACGGTTCAAAGTATATGAAAGGAACATTAAAGCCCAGTCTTCGATTGGGGTTGATTGATTCAACCGGTCAACCATCTCGCTGAATGGTGAATGTAACCCGATGCTATTCCCGACGCCTGGAGCAATCGAGGGGCACTTACCTTTGCATCGGGCGACGCTTCACAGTCACCGAGCTCGTCTTCTACCGTTGAATTCTGAACTTGATACTGATCACTGACCATTCTATAGGCTCAAGGCCCCTAAACTCACGAGGATCGACCCAATGAAGCTGGAGTCGAACATCAAGAGACGTCGTCGAATACACGACCAAAACCGTGAATTTCGATCGCCTCCGACAATGACACTGAAGACAGGAGGATCGAAATAATGAGGGTACGGAGCGTGCGAGTCACCGTCTCCCCTAGCTGCCGATACCGAAAGCCGGCACTCGACGACGAGAAGCTCAACTTATTAACTGAATGAATAGGTAAGTCTGAAAGCTTGATTTACCGTGTGCGGTATAAGTTAAATAATACAGATAAATACACCATATTTAGACCTTTTACCATGAGAAAAATACGCGTGGAGCAATCGGAGATTTAAGAACGAGAGAAAGTGAGCGTTGAAGGAACAAAGCGAGTAAAGTTGGGAAGGAATGTTGTGTTCGACGATTCAGATCAATTTAGAGGAATCAGCTTAAAGGTCTTCGGGACTGAGGGCGTCGTAGATGGGGCAAAGTTCATCCCATGCCGCTAGAAGAGAAGCAGAATGGTGAGATTATGGGACGGAATGGATGAAAGTTGTTGCTCACTAGGTGGCGTGGGAAGAGCTGCCCACTCGTCTGTCCTTTCAGCAAAGACAGCGGCGAAACCACTGAGAAAAGCAAATGTTAAGCTTGTATCCTCGTAGTGTACAACAGCAAGCTATACTCACGTTTCCATGTGCCAGTCAATATGGCAGTGCATGAACCATGGACCAGGATTATCGGTACGGAAACGGATGGTAACGTTGTCGCTCGCCGAGCCGAGGTTGACCACATCACGTCGAACCTAGAGATTCAAGAAATGTGAGAGATCAGAAGCACGGTCAAAGCAACCGAAGACGTACGGGGTTAGCATAGTTGTATGTGCTACTACCGGCTACACGAACGACATCGAATGCATGCTGAGATAGGAGTCAATGTGAGTACAAGCGCAGCTTGCCAAGGCGGGGAACGTACCCCGTGCAGGTGCATAGGATGTTGGATACCAAGCAATCCTCCGTTGAAAGACAATTCGACTGTAGCATCCCTGGGAAGAGGGAACACCATTCCCTCGGGAAGCAAATCCGTGGGGGTATGGGCGCCGCTCAAGATCTGTAGCAGAACGGGAACGGTAGGAGGATGGAAGCTCTGTCCGTTGAGCGTGAACAAGCCTCCGCTCTATAGAGAAAGGGTGTGGTCAGGATAGATCGACAGTGAGTGTTGAAACCAACTCACGAATCCGAAATTAAGGTGCATAGCGACGTCAACCCCGCCAGGGGTGGCATCTCCGGGTGCTCCGGGATTGGAAAGTGGCTGTTCAATCCTGTTGAGAAAAGTTTCGAGGACGTACAAACAGATAGAGAGGACTCACGGCAAGGTCGGCTTCGTTTAGGGGAGCTGTTGATGCGAAAACGGTGGCCTCAGAAACAGGAGGTTCCTCTTCGGGCGCTCCGACGTATCGCAAGATGGCAGAGTTGATGCCATTCACAAAGCCAGATGGACCCGCGTCTGGGTTTGCTCGGATCCCTGAAAGCGAAGGGTAGATCATAAATATGTGATACTCAGGAGTTTACGCCGCCACTGCTCACAGTAATTTCCGACGGGTTGATTAGCTTCCATCTGGAATGAAATCAGAAGACTGTACGAGAATATATTATGTTGTCTTCAGGCACTTACCACCAAAGAGTATCGCTGACCGGCAAAAATTCTGGCCGAGTCTGCTTGTACAACCTGATGGTTGACCGAATCTACCTCGATAACGTCGCTAGAGAAAACTCCGGGGTCAAGTTGACGGTATTTGAGCGCGATTTACGGATACTCACAAGGAGTGGTTCTCGATGAGAAAGTCATAGGATGGGCTACAAGCGACGTTCACGACACGGAAGCGGTAACTGGAGAGATATACAGGATTAGGGGTCGTTCTGAGAATTGAATTATCGAGATAGTCGTACCGTTTGCCGGCCTCGACAGTGATCACTGTCAGCGGCGCGGTCGCGCTTCCTTCACTCCAACGTCCAAGGCCATTGATGAGAGTAGACTGTGGAGTACTATCGAAAAGGGAGGACTTAGCCTGGAATACTCTGGAGGATACGGAACAGAAATCCTACCCGAATACAATCTCTTTCGCCTTGGTATGATACCAGTCTGCGAGGGTGATGACAGTGGACTCTGTAGAGAGGTATTCATGAGTTTGGTGCCACGAAGACAACAGACATAAGAAAGCCTTACCGTCATCGACGTCGTAGAGACTAGCGTGAGGGTCTTGTGGGTCGTACACGACCATTGCTCCACGAAGACCATCACAGTACTGGGTCGCTGGGGATTGTTTTGAGTATATAGCGTGGAAAGACCGCAATAACAAAGTGAGACGTCGGCTTACAGAGATGAGAGTGGTACCAGAACGTTCCAGCCTGGTTATCGGCACGGAAATCGTAGAGGAAGCTGTTGCCCTTTGCGATCGGACACTGCGTCACAAAGGCGGGACCATCAGCCCAGGGGGTGTCCTTCATGAAGAATCCGTGCCAGTGCTATCGAAAGCGAGGGTGTGAGCGACCATGAAAGGACTTGGAGCATACTACTCACGATACTCGTTGACTGCAACATGGTGTTATCGTTCAGGTTGTTGACGACGTTGAGCTTAAAGTTATCGTTCTGCGTGATCATACTCAGTAATCTCCTTCGGAAGACGAGCGAGGAGGCAGGAAATGTACCTTGTTGCCGACAATAAGTGGACCGATAGTACTGTCACCAGCAACGACGGCACCACGAGTGAAGCCATCGGGGGAGACGTCCTTGTTGCTGATGACCAGATCAGCCACAGGTCCGATCGCGGCGAAGGCAGGAGATGCAAGAAGGCAAGCGAGAGCGACGAAAGAAGGAAGAAGACGAGTCATTTTGCTTTTGCTGTGAGCTGGTTTGGGATCTACGGAGAAGTAGACTTGAGCTTTTATACTCGACTTTGCGTATGGCGGAAAACTGCCTCAGTCAGGATGACAGACAAATCATCCAGATATCCCCGGCTGCATAAGTCTACCTTCATTCAGCAGTTGCGATGCCGAGCTTTTGTGGTAGTGGTAAGAATATAGTCGATGGGAACAAGCTGTTGTGGACAAGACATTCGGGTTGAGGGGTTACTTGTTTCCATTTGATGATTTGCTCGGTACGGTCTAATTGGCCGAAACAGCAGATAAACGGATTGGACGTGCAGAGAATCCCAAGACCATCATTAATCATCGAAGGGGCAACGTTTCGTGGCCAATCGCGAGAAGCGGAGGTGTGGTATCAGAGCTCTGTATCCCGGAACAACCCTCTCACGATACATATCTCCCTGTCTTGATTGTTCGTTAGTTCAAAGGGGTTGAGCGCCAAAGCTTCAAGGATGGCAGTAGATGCGAACGGAGCCTAATGGAGGACGGTGAACGCTGGTAACATTCACCTTCTCAGTCTGACAAACGTGGTAGACTAAGCATCGGTGCCTTGGAAACGTGAATGGCTTGAGAAATACTCACGTCTCTTTTCGCGCCGTGAAAGGCCCGAAGCGACAGTAAGTCATCTAATAGGCATGGAAGGAGATACACCTATTCAACCTTGAACCCCTGTCGAATTCTCCCTCCCGTGTGAAAGCGCACTAGAAAGTCCAAGAGCACGTTTAAACCTGTTCAAACACGCCACATATATTTCTCTGTACACGTCTGATCCGCCCTGTCAGCACCGCTGGGTCCGCTCACCGGCATTCAGGGGTATCCGGTTGTAGTTTGCATGGAACTTGAAGTTCCTGTTGTCGAGTTCTCAAAAAGAATGCGATTCCATACCGTCCCGCGGCACCCATCCTCTCGGCCAATTCAGCTCGTCATAACGGGGATCAGTTTGTGTTAACAGGTCCCTAAATGCAAAAAACAAGGAGAAATGCCTCTACGGGCTTTCCAACTTACTTTTGAGTTGTTCCTGGTCTAAGTCGGGGGCACAGCTGTCAAATAACAGTTTGTGAGTAGGGTTTTTGCATTCTAGACCATGACAAGGTAAATTTTTCCACTATGCAAAAAAGGTGAGTCGTATACCTGTTTCTCAGTGCTGATCCTCCCTGAGAAGATTCCTTCCCGAAGTTGAGCGCTGTACATGGCTTGGGTGCGTTCTTGGGCTGCACCCTGCGGGTTACATGGCGAGTTCAGTGTCATCTTCCGTTAAAAGAGCCCTGGAGCCTGAAGAGGCTACCTTGAATGAAGGACTCACTTCGCAGGTATGCGCAGCTCGCGGCGGTCTGACCAGAAGTTGGCAGAGTCTTGCACGTAGGTTTGAGTTTGACGATCTGGTACGAGAGCTCCGAGACGCGTTGCCGTGCGATAGTCGTGGAAGAAAGCTAGCTTTGCCCCTACCATCAGGCACCGGCTGTAAAATTGCCACGGACGTCGGACGCCAGTTTCCCCGGCATTCACTGCCGAGCCGGAGCAAACAATCTTTTGAATGGAACCCATGTTTCCAGTGAGAGCTGTGAAAACTGACAATGATTAGTCCGTAATGTCGAGAATCATTCGTTCGGAATTTGAAAGTGGGGATGTTCAAAACCCGCCAAAGTTTGAAGCGCCTCCATGATAGGGACAGAGCAATCAAGCCAGACCAGGTCACTTTGCCGGAGTGGTTAACGGGATCGCCTGCTATTAATTGTCAAAGCGGTTGCTCTTTGAGCGCGTGTGTTCGAATCGCACAGGTGACGATTTTTTACCGCTTGCGTTATCTCTTGTGGATGGCCGTGAAATCAGTACCAAGCCCTTGGCTGATGGTGAAGCGTTAGCAGGGCCGCCGGGTGAAGGAGGGTCCTGGAGAAACATCGGGAGGAATATGCCGTGAGGATCCCGGTCACGCATACTTGTGTTGGGTCACAGGCCTTTGTCACGTACTTGCTATCATTCGAACTTCCATTTGGTCTCTTCGAGATCCCTCTCTGTTCATGCCGGCGCGCCACAATTTTATTATGGATAGCTCAAGTACTGCGCTATGGAACCTCTCGCTCACCCGCCTCTCAGCGAGTCTCCTTGCCTCCTCAGCGGAGTTAAGTCAAATCGATCACCAATTTATCAAGGGCAGATTCCATGAAGTTTTGAAGCTAGTTGGGTAAAAGGTGCGTCTTTCATTCCCTAGAGCAATATCCAATACTCATGGGCTGACTCAAATCGGGATACAGTCGCTATATACCGCCTCGTAGAGGGCAGTGGAGATCCGAGTCATCAAGTACTTATGTTGGTTGACCATCATCGAAGTTTTGACTTCGGCTCTGAGGGGTGTGCCTCAAACCCAGAGCTTACTAGTGACTCGATGATGAACGCCACCCAAAACTCTCCTTGGTCCCCTCGCCTTCATCGCCTTCATCGCCTGCCGAAAAGGTTCGCCAGAATCTACATCTGTGACCCAGACTCTAATCTCTGCTCGTAGGTTCTTTCCCCGAAAATGCCACTGGCCGCTACTCAGCATTGACATGGGTTTGCCTCTCTACAGGCAGTTCGTGTACGACATGCTTGACAAGAGAGTCACGCGCACAGTGCACACTGTCTGTGTCAGTCACGAATCTGTGGCCGAGCCGTACACCCCCACCGCTGGCGGCCGTAGGATCTTCTCGTTGTCTGTTGCTTCAGTTAGATGGACGGACACCTTTTGTGTCACAGTATCGTTTTATGCCATCTGCTACCAGGAGCCAGCACTACAGTCGCAGAACTAATCATATTTGGCGATGGGCGACATCTCAGGCGAATGCTCTCGCGTATCGTACTCTCTTCCAGCGTCGTATGGCCCGGGTGTCATCGTGTAGTCAACCATGTTGACGGAAGTCCGTTAATTTCGTGCCGCGGAAGAAGGCTTGCCAGAACGGTTGCTACGCCTCTTGCGTCGAACAGTTCTTTGCGAAACCTACTACCATCATCACTGGATCGCTTTAACAGAAATCGTACAGGATCCCTACGATCATCAACCCTGGGACGTTTCCGATCCGACAGTCCACCACCGATATGATGTATCTGATCACTTCCACGTCCATTCTTCCATCACGACTCCCGAGGCTGTTGGGTCGTTCCCCGATTCGACGGGAGAAGCTTCTCGTTATACACACTCTTCGGGGAGATTCCTGCACTTTGTCAAGGAACGCTGTGTTTCCCTGCCGACCGTGAGTGAGTTTGTTCTTGTCGATTTCGTTCACCAATGCTGAGGTAGAGCCGTTCGCCAGACACGGATGTCCTTCGATGGCTAACCGCAATCATCTATTGTGGCTAATTCTAATAATTGCCTCTACCCTAACCCCAACTAAGGCACTTGAGCCTCCAACTACCGCCTCCAATTCCTCCAAATCTACTCTCCTTCCCTGACCTCCTCATATCAACATGCCCTCCTTTGATGTGCTGGGCCGCTCTTCTGCGCTTATCCCCCGCCTCTGATGGGTTTTATCCTTGCTCTCGATGGCCCCCTCGACGACAGAGGGATATGCTCATCAAGACACAGAACTGTTCGGCTGCGGTCTGCAGTCTCATATCCGACCATGTTGGAGTCGGGTGGATCGCGGTGCAGATGCGCGAGGCTCCGTTGCCAGACAAGTGGAATAAGGATGTCTACGGTATGGCGGTGACCGGACAAGGTGATGCAGGAACCACGCTCAGGGTTCCATAATCCCGCTCCTTGAGGGTTCCACCATCCCGTTCGTATCTTCATCCCACTTACCCAGTCGCTCACAACACGTGCCTCCAATGACTCGTCTACCCCATCTTCTCGCACCCCATCGACCAAGCCACCCTTCGTCATATCTGTGTGACGATTTCGACCAACCAGTCGTACTCTTACACCTTCCCACCGTCTCGCTAAGTGTTCCCCGGAGTCTAAGTTCCCGGGAATCATTGAATTGGCAGCGTCCCTGGCGTGGGGTGGTGTGGTTATTTCTGTAACTGATCCTGATACCCTGCTATGGTCCATCGATGTGCTCCCTCTGAGACTCGTAGTTCGTCAGGAAGCCATACTCCCGAGCGTCCAACTATCGATGCGGTGCCTACATCATGATCATCACATCAGCATATCCTCTCATTCCGGGCGTTTCTCCAGTGCACTATCGGAGGGAGCACTCCGAGGCTCAACATCAACTTGAACCCGTTCCCATGTGGCGTACACCAGCCTCTCGTCGGCGAACAATGGGCCACTCGTCCTGAGCTCAACTCGTTCCTGGGAAGCAAGGGACCACCCCGGTATCGCGACCTCAGCGCTGCGTGGTGTATCAGTGCATGTTGGACATAAAGTTTGCGAGCCATGAAGGCGGTTCTGACTCAGGTGTTTTAGTTCTTTGGTGACTCGTATCTTGATGTGCTACTTATACTCGCCCAAAGAAAGCTTCCACTCACTCACCAGTGCCTATTCGTTTCACCTACGGTAGCTGCCTCAGTTGAACTTCAAGTGATGGCGCAAGCTCGGAGATTGACGGCTGATCTACCTGGTCATCTGCCAACTGCTATTACTTTCTTTACTCATTTCGGTGGTGTTCATCATGCGCCAGTTCTCACATCCACATAGCTTTTAATTAAAACTTTCTATTTCTTGGAGCCACTAGTGCGCCATTGAACACAGGCCAGACAGAACCTTACTTTTACGGAGATAAGCGGCTCGCACGTTCGCTTCTGTGAATCGGCACTGAGGTAGGTCTGTTGTTTGTTCAACTTGCAAGGTTCTACGGACAAGAGCTTAATAGTAGTTCCGCGATCAGCTACGGCTGTTACTGTCTCGATGGCATAACCGCCAGTTGTCATAGAAAGGTGTTTTGACCGAGACGTTTCCTAGAATGGACACCGCCATTCGTGGGGGGGAAGCTTCACGTAATAGGTGCCGAGCTCCGGGAAAAATGATGATGATCTTGATGTCTGTATTCCATTGTTCATAAAAGGTTTCCTCAGGATGCATAGCGACGACGAGCTTTCTCTCCATAACGTCTAACCTCCAAAACCTTTCGCCCCGCGCCACGACGACAATGGCCGATGGACCTGACCAGGAGACTTATAAATCAGTTGTGGACTCTATGATGACTGGGCAGTTGCTGGCGACATTGTAAGTTCGCTCCTCTCTGATTTCCGTCGAAGAGTGTCCCATTGATGGATTACATCCTCTCAGCCTATGTGGAATAGCGACCCTTCAAACTCTGTTGTATTTCGTGTCCAGCAGGAAGGACCACTGGGCACACAAAGTTTCTGTGCGCATGCTTGCCGCCCCGTTGTCTCAATATTGCGCATTGACTGATTCAATGTCTGCAGATACTCGCTCTTTGGTTAATACATCTGACATCATCATTTGTGACGTGATTCTCAAAATTTTCTGACCCAGCATTCTCGACATACTTCAATTGACCTTCATCTTTCACGGAACCCACTACTACACTATCTCAAAAGGGATCAATAATCCCGAGATATCTGAGTTTGTATGGAGCCTGAAGGTATGTACAACTCCATGCCAGCTCCAAGGAGACACTCATGAGAACGTCACCTCCCTCGTTATCTTCCCACAGCTCCAGATATTTATGCTAGTGAGCTCGATAAACTGTGACCATGTCTCAACACCGGTCTGATCTCAATTCATGAATGCAAGACTATCGTCATGAGCGCAACAAAAGGGTGAGTTCGATCTATCGCTTCCTCTTGTCCATTGTCTTGATGCTGATGGGCGGTCCTCTTTACCAGGCTCTACACTATCCGGATATGGAAACGTTAGTCGAGGTTTCCTCGTGTTCTAAACTTAGTTGTTGATGATTTATAACCTCCAGTGCAGAAAGAGAGACACAAATGGGTCATTGTTTTCCTGGTACGCATCTGCACTCCATTCCCTACCCTCAACCGCTGACTCCATCTGATCCAGACCCTCTTGCTTGTGGCGGAATATGGTATGTTGACGTGACGGCTGTCCGTGCATTGCAATATGCTGATTGATGAATCCTCATTTCGTCTCGTTCCTAATTGTGACGGTATCATTTTCAAGGCTTAGGAACGTGTAAGTGAGGTCTCTTCATCCGCCTGTGCATCAACTCACTTGTATATCAGGGTTTGCATATGAGACGTATGTGTCAATATCCCTGTGTAACCCTTGAACTGTTGATGAAGATCAACAGGACAACCTTTACAACGTTTCAGCAAGTGCGAAATATGTCTCATCGCGTCAAAGTATGTATATCCTCCTGAATGCTCTGATATGCGCTGATTCATCGGCAGTCTGCCGTGCTTTTGGCCATGAGCTTCAGCTGCCTCACTGACTTTCTCGTCGCGACGGCCCTCGTCTACACAATTGTCCAGTCTCGACCAAACCTGGGATGGTAAGCTACATCGTGAAGATTATTCTCTCGACCACGATCCTTATACTCCCGTTCAGGACGTCGTCTAGTTTTACCATGCTCTCGGCGTACATCATGAATACTGGGGCAATCACGGGGTGAGTGTCAGGTGCCTGATGTTTTCGATACGGAGGAATTTACGTCCATGCAGGTTCTTCTCTCTTATAGTCTTGATTGGAGTGAGTAATCTCTCGATGCATGGAATATCATTCACTCATCGTCCGAATCGAACACAAGTTCGCTCTGGGGGTCGCTAGCCCGTTGTTCATCGTCTCAGAAATGGTTTTACCCCAGCGTGCGTCCTCTTCGTGTGCTGAGCTCTATTCTATACATCTCATGCCGTCGTTAGTATATGTGAACTGCTTCCTGTCAATGTG